TTCAGCTCCTGACTTCGTGATCCTCCTGCCTCAGCCTCCCAAAGTGCTGGGATTACAGGCGTGAGCCACCACACCCAGCCTTGGAAGTTATTTTTGTATGCTGGATAATAATCCTTTGTTACATGTGTTGCAATAATCTCTCAGTCTGTAGTCTGTCTTTTCGCTTTTTTCTTTTTTAGTGTTTTTGTATAAATAGAACTTTATTACACCGAGCTTATTAACATTTTCTTTTATAATTTTCTTTGTTTTTTGTTTGTTTGTTGCTGTTGTTTAAAAAATTATTCCTTAATCCTGGCAGATAGAAATTCAACATTTGCTGAATAAAAGGAGAATAAAGAGAACGAGTGCCTTCCCCAGGGAGAATGTGCAGAGTGAGAAAGAAGAGGGTGGGGCCGGGCGCGGTGGCTCAAGCCTGTAATCCCAGCACTTTGGGAGGCCGAGGTGGGTGGATCACGAGGTCAAGAGATCGAGACCATCCTGGTCAACATGGTGAAACCCCATCTCTACTAAAAAAAATACAAAAAATTAGCTGGGCATGGTGGCACGTGCCTGTAATCCCAGCTACTCAGGAGGCTGAGGCAGGAGAATTGCCTGAACCCAGGAGGCGGAGGTTGTGGTGAGCCGAGATCGCGCCATTGCACTCCAGCCTGGGTAACATGAGTGAAACTCCGTCTCAAAAAAAAAAAAAAAAAGAAGAGGGTGGGACAGAGCCCGGGGAGGGCAGGGACAGAGCTGTGCGACAGAGATCCGTGCCTTTAAGGGCCCCTTCAGCTTTGACGACACACACACACATACCAATGCAAAGAAGGAAGCTGAGGCCGGGGAAAGATAAAGTCTTGAAGGATCCTGGACTGCAGTCCACCGGTCCCCAGTCTCCAGACCAGAAGCAGTCCCCTGAGGCCTGCAGCCTCTTCCAGACATCACCTCCCCTCATCCCCCGAGGGCGGGCAGCAGAGTCCAGTCCAGGCTGGGCGGGACTCCAACGCGGGGTGCTGAGGCCGCCTGGCCATAGCCCCACCCCGCCTCTTTGCTCTCGCGCTCTGCCTGGTGTCAGGGACGCTGGGGCCGGAGCTGCTACCGCCCGCCTGTCTACACTGTCCTCTTGTTTGGCGGGTTCACCTCCCAGCAGCACCCGGGCGAGCGACGTCTGGGCCGGGACAGCTGGTGCTGAGCCGCGCAGGTGAGGGCGTGCGCGGGCGGGGTGGAAGGGGTAAAGGGTGCCGGGGCGCGGGGATACGGAGCAGGCCTGCCGGCTCCAGGGTCGCGGCCGGTCAGGCCAGGTGCCGGGGGGGTGGGGTAAGTCCCTCTATGTGTGTGTAGTGTGGGCAATGTTTCAATGATGACTGTGAGCGCGATCTGCACTCCAGCCTGGGCGATGGAGCAAGCCTCTGTCTCGCCAAAAAAAAAAAAAAAAAAAAAAAAGATTACTGTGAGCACAATGGGTTTGTGGGTTGTATGCGGTTAGTGTGCAGTATGTGCAAATGTGACCCATGGATTGTGGTGTGTGTCTGCCTGCAACAAGTGTGCACAGCACCTCTCTATAGCTCTGAGTGACTGTGCTGGGTTAACACAGGGGTCCGCGGTGCACGTGCACTTTGTGTTGGGAGCATTGGCAGGATGGTGCACGGGGTGTGCTTTGAGTGAATTGTGAGGTGTGAGTTTTGTGTGGCACATCCGTGGCCCCTGTGGTGTGCTGAGCCAGGTGATGGAAGGTGGGGCACATTTGTTCAGGGGTGACACTGACAGAATGTTTTCTGTGGCCCGAGGGTGGCTCTGCCTTTTCCACCCAGTGCTCCGGAGGGCTTGGGAGAGTGCAACCTCACCCGGATCTGGGTGGAGGATGTATGACAGGTCCCAGGCTCACCCTGTCACACACACAAACACATGCACACACAAGAGAAGATGCTCCGAGGTCTCATTTTTTTATCTTCCAAAATTCCTTTGGATTTTGCATTCTTCTATAATATTTCTGCATTGGTTTTAACGTAAAAATACTGTTCTGATAAATTCCCATCCAATGAGTTGGCTCAAGGCTTGGAGGTAAGTTGGGTTTATCTTGGGGTGAGAATCTCCTGCCTGTCTCCCAAACTGAAATGCAAGGACTTGGACTCGGCAGGAGTGAGGCTGTGATGTTGGGTACGTGTTGTGTGCTGGGGGGTTAGCGGGGGGAGGGGGGGAAGGTTGTCTTGGCCACTTCTAGGGCAGGGTCAGGAGAGTTGGGGTTCTGAGGAGGAACCCTGACCATCAATGAGGCTCTTGCTTCTTCTCCACTGCCTGGGCAGGAAGAGGCTGCAGGACCTTGAGGACCACGAATAAGGGGGTTCCCTTAGCAGGCTGCCTCCTGGGACAGTTTGGTGGTTGTGTCATCCAAGCTTGGTTCAAATTTGTTTTAAGCAAAAGCAGAAATATTAGAGAGGCTTGCGATAGGGCTCTGGCACTTTATCTGCAGGACTTTGGGCAAAACCTCACTGTGCCTCAGTTTCTTCCTTTGTAAAATGGAGATGTGGATAGTATTTGCCTCATAGGTTATTTTTAGGACTGACTACCTGGACATAAAGTGGCACAATCTCTGATACACATCCTAACAGCTGGTGACAAAACTATGATGATAGCGATGTCAGCCCCTACACGACTGGGTCCCTGCCCACCCCAGGAACTCTCAGTTTTCACAGAGCCAATGATTCCAATAAGCTGTGTGGGTGGGAATCTGAGAGTCCCTATCTGAGTATGTCTGGGAGATCCATTCCCATTCCCAGACCGAATCCTTGTTGAATTCTCAGTGACCATCTGATTCCTGGGAAGACGCATTCTGGGAGGGGAAGATGCAGGTCTTTGTCAAAGCCTGGGATGGAGCATGGGAGAGAGGTGAGGGGAGAAATGCAGGGGCAGCCGTAGGCTTAGATGGAGCCTTCTCTGTCCTGACAAACCCTGGAGGAACAGAAAAACGCTGACCCCGTGTATGTGTGTATTTGGGAACTGGGAGGGGTAGGGACCTGGGGTGCCCTCTGCCTAGAATGAGTAAAGTCCAGAACAGGATCAGGATTGTTTGGACCTGGACCAAGATAGGCTCTGGGAGCTGAAAGGGAGGCTGTGAGGTCAGCACTGAGCTAGAGGCAGACATGGACCAGGAGGCCCCTGCAGGCTGAGCCTTATTTCTGTGGCTAAAACATTTGCATTGGCAGAGCAAAGTGCCCCTGTTTCTGTTGACTTCATTGGGTCAGTTTGGAGGAGTTGCCCACAGGCGTTGGAGGACAAGGGGACATAAAAGGCAGTGTTGGGAGCTGTGGAAACATCTGGGGAGGGCACCTAAATATATCTTGTGGTGACGAGGTGCCGTGATGGGCCAGGACAAGCTCGGGCAGGGGCAGAGGCAAGCCACTGTCCCCAGTGTCCCCTAGGGAGTACTCAGGGAGTACTGCTGCCCCAGAGGCCCTGAGAGCTTCTCTGGAAGGTCTGGAAGACAGAACCCTCCTGGGCAGAAGGAGGCCTGGCCCAGCCCTGACTTGCTGAATGATAAGGCCAGCTCTCTTCTCAGCTGTCAGGGGGGTGGGACCAAGTGATGTTGTCGTCACTTCTGGCCCTGATTTCCTTTAATCCCCAATTCTGGCTATAATTGTTTATAATTCCACAGTCCTAGCCCTAAGACTCTTTAATTACTCTAACATTCTAGAAGTGTACAATTCAAACTCCAACTTTCTACACTCCAGAACTGTAACATTCTCCAATTCTGGCTCCAATGTTGGAGGACTCTGGCCCTGGCTTTGGCAGTCTGACTCTTGCAAACTCAGAAACTCCCAGGGAAGAGGTCACTTCAGCAGAATCATGTGAGAAGCCCCAGAAAAGGTCTCCTCCCTGCCTAAGCCAGCCTGGAGTGGAGGCAGGTGCCTGGTAAAATGGCCACATGCTCTCTGGGGTGGATGACAGTGAACCCATAGGCCCCTCCTCATCGGAGCAGCACAAGTGCTAGGAGTACTTCACAGCTGTCAGGGGAGGGTGGCCCTAGGGGAGAGAAAGTTTCAGATTTTGCATTCTAGGCACCCCTCGGATGAGGGAATTATGGAGTCACTGGGTACCTTGAAAGGCCATCAAGAGGAAGGAGAGAGAGAACAAGAAATGGGGCTGAAGAGACCTCAAAGGCAAACCTCGTTCTCTCTGAGAGACCTCAGGTTGTAGAAAGACTCCTGTGGAGCCAGCACCATCATGGATGCACAGCCATGTCTGAACTCAGCATAGGCCAGGGGATGAAGAGCTCCAAAATTCACAGTGATTAGCCTGAAACCTTGCCTTGGGCTGGTGACAAGCAGGACCGGTGGCCGACTGGGCAAGTTGGGGACCATCCTCCCATAGAAACCTTTGCTGCTTTCTCTGAGTATTCTGGCCAGGACTTGTGTGGGAGGGCTGAAGTGGGTGAGCCAGACAAAACATCTGTGTTCCTGGGGAAACCTGTTAGCTTCTCTGGGAGGGTAAAGGAAGGGCTTGGGGATCCAAGGACTCAGCTCTTCCTCTCCCATCTCTTTCCTGGTTCTGAAAGCTCTTCACATGCAACTTGCTGCTGAGCTAAGCTACAGCCCTATGTATGCTGGCCGGAAGGGGGTGCCCGTGTGCCTGCTGTGGGTAGTGTGTTCCCAAGTGTGGCAGATGCGAGGGCACATGTGCCTAAGCATGTGTGAAGCTGTGTGAGTTATGCAGAGCTGTGTCCGGGTCGCGTGTGCTCTGCATGCGCCAGTGCAGAACTGCGCCCACGGGCACGTGCTCCTTATAGCGCTGCCAGGTCTCTGCGGCCTCTCTGTGCTTTCTTATGATGGGTGGCAAACAGCAGACCCTAGACTCTGGACAGAATGAGGGGCTCAGGTTGCAGAGAGGGAAAACCTCTGCAGCTCAGCATGAGGGCCAAGTCTCTGGCCAGATGTAGTAGCTCACGTTTGTAATCCTAAAACTTTGGGAGGCTGAGGCAAGAGGATTGATTGAGACCAGGAGTTTGACAACAGGCTGTGCAAACAATACAAAAATTAGCCAGGCATGCTAGCTCACACTTATAGTCCCAACTGCAAGTGAGCTGAGGAGGGAGGATCATTTGAGCCCAGGAGGTCAAGGCTGCAGTGAGCTATGTGTTTGCACCACTACACTCCAGTCTGAGCGATGGAGCGAGATCCCTTCTAGAAAAAAAAAAAGGTGTCCAGTCTCCTCCTGTCCAAGGAGACCACCAAGCATGCTTCCTGCAAACCTCTTTAGGATCTGATCTGAATTCCAGAGGGACCATGTCTCCTGTAGACCCGGGGCCAGGCAGCCTCCTGTTTCAGTCAACAGGGCCGAGGGTAGTGTTTTTCCTCCCTCCGTGGGAGCAGCTAGGGGGCAATGGGTGGTGTCCAGGGGTGTGCACGAGACCATTCCTGCCTGCCAGGGTCTCATCACAGCCTGCAGGCCTTCTCAGCCCTTGACTCGTGTGGATTGGAACAGCTCTCCATTCCACAGCTGGGAAAACCAAGGTTCAGGAAGGGATGAGACCCACCCAAGGGAGTAGCCAGTACTGAGCTGCGAGTCCAGCTCAGGGCTAGGAATGAGGACCCTAGGTCTGAGCTAGCAGTGACTGCCTGGAGGCAGGAACTCCAGGGCTGGGGCGCCAATGTCAGCCTGACCAGCTAGTGGTGAGCACCACCCAGCCAGGGCATGTGGGGTGTAAACTGTAAAGTGCTTGATTTATTGTACAGGACCCAGGGGGCTTCCTGCTGGTGACGGAGTGCAGGAGGGTGGCTGTGGAGGGGTCAGTGCCCACAGGTAATGTAGGGTCTTCGGGGCTTCAACCTTGGGCACTCCTCCCCTCCTGGTGAGGAGCCTACATACAGCCTGGGCTGAGCTGGGAGAGCCTTTGCCTGAAAGTTATCCCCTAAGGCTTCCTCCTCCTCTTATGTAACTGCTTTTATTCCCGGGGAAAATCAAGAGCCTGGGAACCCCACAAATCTCTTGTGGCATCTGGAACAGTTTGGGATTATGGCAAGGATTTCGGAAACTGAGAAAACAAGGCCTGTGGACTAGGGGTTTGCGGGGCTCCCCAGGAGCGGCATGTGTGGAGCGCCTGCGGAGGCACAGGCCTGGGCAAACATGTATGTGAACAGATGTACACACCCTGGAGCCACTCACAGAAACACACACGCACGCACTTGGGCACAATCCCAAACACCTGTGCCTGGTGAATGCAGGTGCGTTTTCCTGCGCAGGCACACGCGTGGCTGGCAAGCCTCCAGGCAGACACTGTGCACCCAGCATTCACGTTCTCCCCCAGCCTGGGGGCCTGATGGGGGATGGTGGCTCTCAAAGCTACCTCAGGGCTACGCCTCTGCCTCCAGGAACAAGCTTTCCCAGCCTTGTCCCTTTCCCGTCTCTTCCCCCACACCTTCTCACCACAAGGACAGAGGAGGGGCCCTTCCTGTTAGCTGGCTGGGAGCAGAGGTGGCTTTGTCTTTTCGGAAGAACTAGTTCCGTGGAATTTGTGCTTCTTTCCCATCAAGGCTCAAGGGCCTGCTTTGGGGCTACCTCAGGGCCCCACAGGGTGAGGGGCTGGTTTTCAGAGTTTTCTGCCTGCCTGTCGTCTGGATAGTGTCTAAAAATTTGCAAAACTGCCTTCCTGTCAGTGTCTTGCTCATTCTTCCTGACACTCCTGAGATGTAAGTGCCTTCACTTCCTCTGTCTGGCAGATGAGGGAACTGAGGCCCAGAGAGGGACGGGACTGTCTGAGGTCACACAGCAAGTTGAGGCAGGGTTGACCAAAACTCTCATGAGCTGGGGCTGGGAGGAAAGTGCTTTCAGCTTCCTGGGGCTTAGGGTATGAGGATTTGGCTCCCAGAGCCTAGAGGGTGGGGCAGGCTGGCACTACCAGGTGGGCCTGCCACAGGAACACCTCACACTCCTTTACCAAGATCTGACGGGGCACAGCCAGCCCCTCAAAGGCCAGCACTGTGCTGTGAGGCTCACTCCTGTACCACCTTCGTGGACATCCTAGGGGAGAGGGCAGGAGGGGGAGCAGGAACACCTCTGCCATGCTGTGTGACCCAGGCAAGCCCCGACTCTCTCTGGGTCTGGTGCCTTCCCATCTACTGGGATATTGGGATTGGGGATTAGTTGAGGGATGTGCTCCCTCTCCAGACCACAGAGGAAGCAGAGAACTTCCCCAGGGCCAGGAGTGGGGCGCAAGCTCAGGATACTCGCTGCCAAAGCCCTGGTGGCCCTGAGCTGCAGCCTGTACCCAGGGAGTCCGGGCCCTGGCCATGGCCTGCTGCTGAGATCCACCAAGGCAGGGCCCAGCACAGAGTGGGGGCTCAGGGCCTGGGGGCTGGGAGAGGGGATCTGGCAAATCCAGATGGGGCCTGTCCACCTGTCTGAGGCTGCGGCCCCCTGACTCTCTGCCTCTCACCCTCCTTTATGTTTCTCTACAGCTGCTCTTACCACTACCCGGCCTGCTATATATTTACTCATTAACCGAAAGAAACTAATCTTCCCTGCTAGAATACAGGTGTCTCAAGGGCGGGACTTTGTTTTTTGACCTCAAGTGCCTTGAACATTACTTGAATAGAATAGGTGTCCAATAAGCTCTTGTTACAAAGAAGAGGAGGAGGAGGAAGAGGGAGAATGAATCATCTTACAGTTGGAGAGGGCTCACCATAGGCCCGGCTAGAGTCGCCCTGGCTGCCTTCTCCTCATCAAGCCCAAGCTCAATGATGGATTGGCACTGGGGAGGGGAGGGTCGTCTGCAGTCAGCCTTTCTCCCGAGATCACCTTCCATCTTCAGCGCCATCCTCATTCCTGGGTGGGGCTTGTCTGGACCCACAGGGTTGGAGCCATAGACAAGAGAGCCATTAATCTCAGGGTCTCAGCTTCTCTCAACGGACCTTCCAGGCACTGCTGAGAAAACCAGGGTAATGGTTTCCTGCAGCAGCAACAAGCAGGAGCAGGGCCATCTCCAGACTCCAGAGAATGGGGAGGACGAGGAAAAGTGGCCACCTGATGCATGCCTTCCCTGGACCAGGCCCTGGTCCTGAAATGTTATCTCACTGCATCCTCCCGACAGTCCCTGGGGCTAAATTGGTGATGCTGCTTGTTTGGGTGAGCAAACAGAGGGTGAATGAAGTGACTTGCTGGCACCTGGGTAGAGGCTGAGGTCAGCGTTGGTATAAGGGACTTGAGCATCAGGGTTCTCGGGATTTGAGCCCTGGCCCTGCTGCCTGCCAGCTCTGTGCTGTGGCAACTTACTTCCTCTCCCAGATGTCTTGGTTCCCTCATCTGCTGCCTCTCCAGACTTCTGCCAGACATCGCACGCGACAGTTTCAGGCACAGGAACTTTCTGGCAGCAGGCACTGCTCCACAAGTGGGAATTTGTTCCAGCACTTCACAGACTGCAACTGAGGCGCTCGCTAACTCCTGGGTGAGTTTTCTGGGTCCATGCCTGGAAGGGCCTGCACCCCTCAGCTCCCCTAGGAGCTTCCTGAGTACATGCAGTCCACTTGCAGCCACCAAGGCTCATCGCAGGCAAGAGTGGCAGTGGGGCAGGCACTGGGGTCCTCCTCCTTCCTCTGCCTGGCTATGCCTGGAGGCTGCAGACTACACAGCGTGGAGGGGTGAGACACGCAGGATGGGAGGGGAGGACATGGACACGTTGGTGCTGCGCCGTGCCTTGCTGGAGAAGTGGAATAGCTCAGGCAGGATTCGGAGCCACAGAGGTCTGGGTGTGAATCCAAATGGCTAGCAAGGACACTTTTCCTCTCTGGGCCTCAATTTCTTACTCTCTAAAATAGGGGCAACAGTGGTCTCCCCCTGCATATGTGAAAACTGCTAAGTGCAGTATGCTGGTGAGGGGTCCTCATGGAGAGGCTGGCCCTGCCCTCGGAGCTCCCCAGGAACTTTGGTTGAGGGAGTGAGTAGGAAGGATTAGTGATCGAATAACTGTCCACAGAGGAGGCCCTTGGAAACCTCTCACCTCTGCCATCCCAGCTAAATCTTAAGGCAGCTTGGAGCTGGCCCCATGAGAGTGGTGGGGAGAATAAGTCCCTGAGTCCAAGTGTGACTTGTTAAGGGTGAAAGGGCATATCTGGGGGAGCTGGGTTAAAACTTTTCTGGAGTTTCTATTGCCAAGTGGCTCCGCTGATATCAACAGAGAAAACAGGCAGCACAGCCCATGCGTTCAGCCCCCCGCCTCTTGAAGATATTTGGAACTCACATCTCTTGCCAGCTCTAGAATGGGTCAGATTCAGGGAAACTCTCCACCCCTCAGTATCAATGAGATGAAAATGAGAAGGCCCTTTGCAAACTCTAAGGTGTTGTGCCCAGAAGGTGCATCTGCATGTGTGCCAAGCCCGTGGGTGTGTCCATGAGAGCGAGAATGTCCAGCTTCCAGTGTATGTGCGTGTGGATGCCTGACTGTGCGGGGGGAACTCTACGCCACCCTCAACTCCCTGTGTGGCTGGGCCTCTTCTAAAATTCTTACAATCTTTTTTTGCATTTCCTCACTGTTTGTCAGTTTATCAGAAAGGAAGGGGGCCATGGTCCGGAAACCTGGCAATTGTCTCTGAGCCTGCCAACTCTTCTCTCCTGCCCTTGCCTTATCCTGTGGCTGTCTCTGGAGGCCTGATTGCCGGGAGCTCCCAGCATGGCCCGTTCTTCAGGGTCAGAAGCTTGCCTGGCTCCTCTGCGCGGCCCACCCGCCACCTGTTTTTCCATCTGTGGCTATGCACTGGCTGCTTTCACATCACTGTCCCACTGACTCTTTTTATTTTTAGATTTTTATGTTTTTAAAGATAGAGTCTTGCTGTGTCACCCAAGCTGGAGTGCAGTGGCACCATTATTGCGTATTGTAACCTTGAACTCCCGGGCTTAAGCAATCCTGCTGCCTCAACCTCCCAAGTATCTGGGACTACAGGCATGTGCCACATGCTCAGCTAATTTTTAAAATATTTTGTAGAGATAGGGTTTTGCTATGTTGCCCAGGCTGGTCTTAAACTGCTGGCCTCAAGTGCTACTGATTCTTTGTAACATCCCAATACTCTACAGAAATGCTATTTATTGTTCCTATTTTACAGGCAAGGAAATGAAGGCTTGTTGAACGGAAATGGCTCTCCCAGAGTTATCCAGCCAACTAGCAGCAATGCTGGGGTTTCAATTCTTACCTAACTCCAAAAACTTTATTAACTGTTGTGGCTCACCTAGTGGGTATGTGTTGGCTGTTTGGCTGAATGAATAAATAAATGAAATAGCAGATGAATCAATCATTCTGTCAAAATTGAGCTGAAAGAGAAAGTTAAGCAATAATAGCAATGTCTGTCATTGATTAAGCAACTACAATGTCAAATGTTTCATGCAAAAATGAAAGCATCAGGAGGCTGAGGCAGGAAAATCGCTTGAACCTGGGAGGCGGAGATTGCAGTGAGCCGACACTTGGTCTCAAGAAAGAAAGAGAGAGAGGGAGGGATGGAAGGAAGGAAGGAAGGAAGGAAGGAAGGAAGGAAGGAGAAAGAAAGCAGCTAGGATTATTGTTATTCCTATTTTGCAGTAGAGAAAGCTGAGGCTCAGAGAAATTAAAGGATCATGTCCGGTGTGGGAGCTGGAACTATAATTTGTCAGTGTGCAGACCCAGAGCTCTGAACCTAGGTTTCTGGTTCCTTAGCATGAGAATGAGTCAGCAGAGACTGGCAATAGGTGTCCATTACAGCAGAGGAACCAGGGCCAGTCGAGACTCTCAGGAAGCTGGGTGCAACAGCCCCCCCTGCCCACTCCTGCCTCGGGGCCATTTCCTCATTTTTCTCTGAAATGGGTTTCTGTTTCAGTCTGGAGTGGGCATCTGGCAGCCCAGGCTCTGACTCTCCCTCTCTGACTGCTGACTTGTGTAGTTAGGGCCAATGCCCTGGCATGGGGCGATATCTTGCTGCTTCCCCTTTCCCAAGGTTGGCCATGTCATTAATGGCTCCATGGGAGGGCAGGGCCTACACAAGACACAGTCATTGGTCTATGGAGATGCCGTAGGCTGGGTCAGTGGCTTCTGTGCCCAGCCCTGTGTGGATGCCAGGAACCCAGGGGCTAGTGGGTCCAGCTCTCCCCTCAGGAACTCTTGGGCTGGGAACTGAGCCCCAGGAAGATGAACTCTGCAGTAGCTGAGACAGAGTCTGGCATCCTGACTCCCAAGGCAGTCAGTCCCAGCTGGTTTTCATGGCCTGGGACAGAGTAGGGGCTGTCCTGTGGTACCAGAAGGCAGATCTCAACTCAGAGTGAGGGATAACCTTGTTTCTGTCATACCAGAGGGATGGGAACCAGCCTTTTAAATCATCCCACAGTTCCTGAGTGTCCTGTCCCTTCTATTGAGGGACAGGGACACAACAGGGACAGACTCTGCACAGGAGGAGAGCCCATTGTCTGAGGGAGGAGACATTCCCTCGGGCAGTGGCTAATCTGATGGTTGAGCCAAGAGACAGACTTGGAAGTGTTAGAACCTATCGCACTTGACAACATCTTCGTTCTTCATGCCCTCCCATGGTGCCTTCCTGAGGAGGACATGCCTCCATAGCATAGAAGGAAAACAGAGGCACAGAGAGGCCGGTGTTTGGGATAGAAATGCCTCTGTTGCAAAAAGTTGCTGGAGTAAAGCAGATAATAGATTAAAAACTAAACAGTCGGCCGGGTGCGGTGGCTCACGCCTGTAATCCCAGCACTTTGGGAGGCCAAGGCAGGTGGATCACAAGGTCAAGAGTTCAAGATCAATCTGGCCAACATGGTGAAATCCCGTCTCTACTAAAAATACAAAAACTAGCCAGATGTGGTGGTGCTTACCTGTAATCCCAGCTACTTGGAAGGCTGAGGCAAGAGAATCACTTGAACCCGGGAGGCAAAGTTTGCAGTGAGCCAAGATCGCGCCACTGTTCTCCAGCCTGGGCAAGAGTGAAACTCCATCTCCTAAAAAAAACACAAACAGGCCGGGCATGGTGGCTCACGCCTGTAATCCCAGCACTTTGGGAGGCCGAGGCGGGTGGATCACAAGGTCAAGAGATCGAGACCATCCTAGTCAACATGGTGAAACCCCGTCTCTACTAAAAATACAAAAAAATCAGCTGGGCATGGTGGCGCATGCCTGTAATCCCAGCTACTCAGGAGGCTGAGGCAGGAGAATTGCCTGAACCCAGGAGGCGGAGGTTGCGGTGAGCTGAGATCGCGCCATTGCACTCCAGCCTGTGTAACAAGAGCGAAACTCCGTCTCAAAAAAAAAAAAAAAAAAACACAAACAAAAAATAACAACAACAAAAAACTAAACAGTCCCCAGCCTAGGTCTCCTCCCAGACTAGAAATCTCCCTTCCGACTCTTACATTCATTGGTGAGATTCATTGAGGACTTGTTTGTGCCAGGCTCACTCAGGGGCTTTATTATAGATTTATCTTATAATAACAGCAACACCAAGAGCGGTTCATATTATAACTCACATAAAATAAATGGGGAAACTGAGACTCAGAGAGTTAAATAACTTGCTCCAGCTAATATAACTAGTAGAAGCAGAGGGGTTCAAACCTGAGACTATCTGTCCCTAAAACTCATGACTCTCCCACTCCGTGGGGTTCTTGTTCACAAGATGTCAGGCCTCAGAGCATATTATTAAATGGTAAAATGTTAGTGATAACATAAAAAAAGGAGCAATTAGGGAAACACAAATCAAAACCACAATATGATACCACTTTACACCCACTAAAATGGCTACAAGGAAAAAGACAGACAATAACAAGTGTTGTCGAGGATGTGAAGAAATTGGAGCTCGCATATACTGCTAGTTGTTAAAAATGCACGCTTTGAATGAAGAGACCCCCAAACAGGCTTTGTGTGAGCAACATGGCTGTTTATTCACCTGGGTGCAGGTGGGCTAAGGCCAAAAAGCGTGTTAGCGAAGGGCGGTGGGATAGGAGTTGGTTTTATAGGTTGGGGCAAATCTTTTGGGTGTTATGGAGTAAGATCAGTTACAGTGGTGGGGGTAGGGGCAAGGAGTCTACATTACCATAAGATCACTTACAATGGTGGGTGGGGTACGGCATAAGAGTAGTTAAGATGGTAAGGTGGGGCGGAGGGATATTCACAAAGCAAGTACAGTTAAGATGGCAGGGTGCGGTGAAGGGAAGCTTAATGATGGTGGGGACGGGAAGCTCCGCTGGGCCCACTGGGCGATCAGGGATAATGGCGAATGCAGGGTTGTGGGTGGTAATCAGCCAAGGCTGGCGGGACTTCAGACTTTCTGGGTCCGGGCTTGCATGTGGAGGCCTGACACTAGTGAGAATGACAAATTATATAGCCATTGTGGAGTGCAGTTAGGCAGCACCTCAAAAAGTTAAACATAGAGTTACCAAATGATCCCCTAGTTCCATTCCAAGGTGTATACACGAGAAAATTTAAAACACAAA